TCATCTTTAGAAGAAGAAATAAGATAATAAAGAGGCAGTTGTTAATCATCTGCTACAACGCCTTCAAAGCCTTCAACCAAAAAGCGGTACAAATCTATACCAAAAAAGCACACTGGATAAGATTCTCTCTATCACTGCTCAACTAAGACTGTTTCTATCAAAGCTCAACGGAAAAACTCAGAGAGCTCTACTAAAGATGAAAGCAGCATAATGAGAACAAAACCTGACAACAAGGCAGTTGCTCCAAGATATTCAAGATTTCTTTGACATGGAAAATCAGATAGAGCTCATACGAGAAACCATGATTGAGAATGAAGAATCAACTGCAAGCACTCCATTCACTGCAAGAACATTCAAGATCGAAGGTAACATTGGCGCATGAGCATATTGTTGCTTCCACTGCAACGGAAGCGATCATGCTCCAACAGCTTGCTCAAAGTACCCTACTGTCAACCAGCGACTGGAATTCACCAGACGAGAAAATCTCTGCTACAACTGCGGATGCACAGGACACTGAACCGAAGACTGTTGTCGCGGAGCATGTCGACAGTGCAAGGAAAAAGTCACCATACTTCGATTTCTCAGAAATCCCTTGACTCACAGCAATTTAATCGTCATCCATCGCTGGCGGATGTTCCGCAGAAGGTACAGTCAAAGTCTCTCGCCGAAAAGAGAAGAGCAGCGAATCAGAACTACACTACAATCGTCGCAGAGCAGAACTCAACATCGTGCAAAATAGCCGTTGCACACCATCAAAAAATGTAGAGAATTGCTAACTCCTTGGATAGGACAACTCTTCATCATTTCCTCTGACTGAAAAGTTTTCACGAAAAACTCATTCCTCGACAATAAAATGATCACGTCTTGGCCATAAACATCAAATGGGAAATCTCACACAAAAAGTTGCTATTTGTACAGCAAAATGATGATCTTGAGGAAGTTACTGGCGAGGGTAGGACGCTCGTGGTTTCATCTGTGCCTGCGTGAAAACTCTATGACAAAGATCCGTACTCAAAGAGTATACTCGTGGTTGTAATGAAGCAATGATTCGACTCCGCTTCCTGAAACCGCTCCAACAGGACGGAACTCCGGCCCGCAGAGCAGAGCTCCGCGGTAGCGGTGTTGAAGCTAGCTGCCCGATTCCATCTGCGAAGAGGAATGGTCAACATGTTTTTAAGATTTTACCTCACTTGATTCCTCCGTATGGTCCCTGATTAGAAGAGGAACTCAATTATAGTTTGCAGTTCCATAATGCAAAGACTGAAGAACGGCTGGCAAGGAATGCAGCAAGATACCTGCAGGCAACATGTTATTTAGAAGTACGGGAGCATAGTTGGGAGTCTATTTGCGCTCATGGGAGATAGATCGAAATGTGATTGTAGCGTATTGTCGCCCATCATGAAAGGAAACGTGCATATGGATTCCATTGTCATTCTCAGCTGAGAAGTTTTGATACTTCGCCATGAATTGGCACCCATAAATTTGGGGCAACGTGCTTCGAAATTGAGATTGCCGAACACTATCAAGAAGCATTCAGGCCGAATTAGAGTCGAGCAATTAAGCAATTAAAAATACCTGCAAGAAGAAAGCGATCGCCGCAAGCCACAGTATTGGCCGCATTGTGATGGAAGGATTGCTTCTGAAACATTAGTTCTAATGGTACCAATGTCAAAAGAGGAACCCGCTCTGGGCGGGGCTCTGCTCAACTCTCATCATCGATCTTGAGAATAGTATGAAAATAATTGGGTGTTATTATAGCCAACTCCTAGAAAGTCAAGCACTTCTTATGTAATATCGAGGGCTCTGCAGCATTCGTTTAGTCGCGACTTTTGCTCCATCGTTCTACCTGCTCCGCCACATATGTACCCCTCCCCTTAAGCCATGCAAGGTTTAATCACGCACTGTTCTCTGCTGCTTTGTTCATACTTACCTATGTCCTTTTCAATTTTTGTTCCGACCCTTCGAGTGACTTTGTAATATTTCCGTGGCGGGCATGTCATTAAGTGAGGCTTTCTATGTAATTAGGATGGTTTTCGATTTCTTAACACTTGAAGTGAGAATCTGCAGACGCAATTAACTTAAAAGTAGTTCTTCACAATTTTTTTGAAAAATTTCCCAATTTTTTTTATCGATTCTCATAATGGTGTTAGATCTGGATCTGAATGGTGTGAATATAACGGACTGAAATTTCCCGGACAAACTGCTGTTTTTGTTTTGCAGACTCATGATTATTAGGCATTCGAGCAAAATGCATCAAAATTAACTTGCTTCTTGCTAATGTAGGAAGTTTTTGGATTTTTCATCCTCACAGTAAGAGATACATTAACCGGTATGGGGTGGAGTTGTGAAGGGATCTCACAATTGTCAAACGATGGGCACTGCTCAGTGGATCTCAAACATGTAATTGAAGAACAAACGCCGGAAGGAGATATCTTTCGTCTCGAAGCGGGTAGAAGCAGTTCAGTTTATTTGTGAATTCCTGTAAATACTAACTTGCGGTTTGTGCCTTCGGTGAAGAAAGGCTTACTGATTGAGTTACAACCACCTAAAACCGATTGAAGCCTTGGAGAAACTTTTTGTCGGTAACTTTCCTAACTGTATAAAAAAAGCTTTTTTCGGTTCACTCGCCTGAGGGGGTTATTGTAATGGACTATGAGGGACTATGACTAAACTGCCGCTCAAAGACTGAGAAGATGGCGAATGACTTATGACATCAAAAAAGCTTTACAGTCGATGGCTTTCTATTCATCTTCAAAAACTAAACCCATCACAGCAGCGACCCCAAAACCTTATGACGGCAATAATGACATGATGGCTCGTCAGATTGCGCACTAGAATGGATATGGTTGCGGTGGGCAGCCTGCGTGGCGTAGAAGGCGTGCTAGGATGGAACATGCGCAAGAGGAAGAGCGCACGAAGGTACCCTTCTGTGTACTTTTCGTTTCGGACGATATGAGCCCTGCCATTCGCGCTTGTCTGCGAGAAGCTGACCTCCAGAATAGTGTGCGAGTGGTCGAAATTCCCCCCTCGAACCTCAGAAGACAATTGGTCCGAAACCGCCTCTATGATCGGAGATGCCAAACGCCCTCCTGTGTAATTTGCCCTTCCGGAAAGGAAGGTGATTGTATGATCTCGGGAGTCGTATATCTCATCACATGCCAACTGTGGGGAGGAATATGTAGGGGAAACGGGAAGACCACTCTGCATTAGGATAAAAGAGCATTTGGATGGGTTAAAAAAGTCTAGAAAGTCCACTCCTCTCGGTGATCACAGGATACAGCACCATGCGAATGAAGGTGTGACGGTCTCTGTTATGATACTGTCTCGTGAAGATGACATTTCAGCGCGAAAGACTCTGGAGGCACTGTGGATCGCAGCAAAGAATCCAAAAATCAACAGGAAGGACGAGTGCGTGGCGATTACCAGGGAGCTCGCGCCATTCGCAGACTTGTGTGGCTTTGATCTATACAGTCGATACCCCCGCGGGGGCACCGGGGCAGGGGTGACGGGTGAAAATACCCAGACTCGCTGAAAAATCAATACCAGGGGCGATGCGCGACCACCGGCAGGGACCTGACCTCGTATGACCTTATTTAGTTGTTTACATCTTGGGGGGTCCCCTGGAGCAATCCCTGACCCGACCTCTGAGTCCCAGCACATATAAAAGCGCCGTGAGGAACTTCGGGCTCAGGGTGCAGACAAACAGCTCCAGCCGGTTACAGGTCAGCTCATCGCTTCCGCTTTACTTTCCTCTAGAGTTCTCATCTTGTAATTTGAAATGGTGGCCCACGAATCACAAATATAGTTTCGACTTACAGGCTCCGACGAAGGCGATATTGCCGAAACGTAAACCGTTTGGATAAAGTGTTGTTAAAAACCTCGAAGGCTAAACAACCTACGGTGAAGTTATTTCAATATGCCGAGGTTAATCGAAAGTCGGACATGGGATAATGACATGAGTGTTCCATGATCAGTGTTTAAACCACCAACGTAGAGAGACGGAACCCGTTCAAACTGCCGGGAACGACAGCTCATTCTATGAATTATTATTATAAATTTGTACTTATGTGAAGTCATAGCGAAGAAGATAGACAACTAGACGAGTGCTCATTTCCTGGTAACGCAGTGAATATGGTGAAACTGCTTTTTTTTTACAAAGTGTGGGTTCATTTTTTTGAAATTGCACCCTAGCTAATTTTCATGACCAACGTCAAGCTCAATGTTGAACCTTCAATGCGATGAACCCTCCCAGAATCGTAGTTCTCGAGGCCTCCAAAGTTGTCTATTGCCCTGCCGTACTCCGTAGGAGATTTCATTCACTTAACCATAGAATCAACTCAACGATGGAAATTGTGCAACGATGGAAGGTATTTGAAAAGAGACACGGAGTCGTGTGGCCTTTTTTGCATGTGACAATAGATACTTCTTATGACTATGCTACGAACTTCTTTGTCTCGAACCAGAATTTTAACGAATAGTCACGGATTCCTTTGGATTCAAAATTGAACTGGACTAGTGTACGCTAATCGTGGAGGGTGACCCATGATTGGCGTTACACTGGTTCCGTCTGACGGGAATAATACTCGCATCTAATAATATATACTTGAGGCTTAGCCTCCTCAGACATCAGTGGTGTTTCTTTCTAGGACCAGTGGTCCTTAGACGTCAGTTGACGGTTTCATTTTTACTTTATCACTCTATAATCTGATATAGGAACAGAAAACTACGTCACTATTCAGAAACCTCACTGTTTTCCAGTTTTTATCTAAATTCTCCACAGAAATTAACAAAAAAATTCAGATGAAAATCGCCATTATCTTTATAGTCATAATATGAAGGCTTCAACCGATTGAAAAAAATCTTGCATTTGTCTCGCCTTCTTAATTGGCTGGCTGCTGATCTTCTTCTACCTATAGGAGAGGTTGCTTGGATACGTTTGTAACCTTCACGGAGAAATCTCATTTACTGCTTGGTTTCGTGGACTAAAAACGCTCTATTATTTAGTACCTATAAAGAAATGTTCATATATGATAATAATAATATTAAATTATCCCTTACATTAGCATTCCCATCCAACCGATCCTCACTTGTATGAGGAAGTTCAATTCAAATATCGCATCGGGTTCAATAGATTTTCGCTTTCTTTTTCCTTCCTAAAACAAATACATTGTAGCTGATGCAGAACACTAGTGCACTACTGTAGGGTTTTCTTGATTTACTTGGTATCCCTTGAGCTTCAGGTTCGATAGCATATTCTTTATAGGCACACCAGACCAGTCGGAGTAGTCCCATCTCAGTAGTATGGCCAGTGTAGTGGAATTGATTACCTGAACTAATTTTATACATAAGGTCTATTACTAAGTCAATAGATAACGTTTAAAACTCCTTACCGTATTCATTCACATGGAGTTATTTCAAAAACGATTTCGCCTCTACGCACTTATATTTCAGGTAGCAGAAGCCTGAGCTCAATGCAGTGTTTGCGTATTTTACGTCTTAGATACAAACTAAAAACACCACATTATAATTTATTCAGAACTAGGGCCGGAAGTAAGTACATACCTTAAATTCTCCAAGTCTGCTATTTGTATGGTATGTTCCCTTAACAGTCGAATAGATGAGTTATGTGCTGTTATATACAGATGGATGCTTTTTGCCAACTTCCGCACAAATTTCTTAGAAGTATAGCTCATTTCTGCTTATAATAAAAAGTCAATCCATCTCAAGTTCATCTTACTTCCTTACAACTTTGATTATAGGAGACTTACTCGAATACTAGTTAGACCGCCAACCTTGCCTGCTACCTTTATCCAACTTAGACAATTGATATCATTGCTATGATCATACCTAAAGACATTGCAGTAACTTATTCTTATATAAATTTATCTGCAATGTTGATATAATCCCTTTCGATTTCATTGAGAAAATATTTAGCCAGTTCTTTATTAGACAATTTCCTAGGGTTGGGTAGTGATACTATTTCAATCTGCTTCGATAATACACTTACGTTCTCTTGCTGCCCAATGTTTCGGACTGCCAGGCCAACATTGGGGACATCGAATCCAGGTATCTACAAATCAGCTTCCCAATTTCATACTCCATTGAAGGTTATAATTTTATTCAACACCACCCACTCGCGACATTGTTTCTTCTCCAAATTGTACAAAAGGACAGACAACAATAAAAAAACACGAAAAACCTATAATCAAAAACGTATAATAAGCAACACGAGAGTGATCTTATTTAATAAAAGTAGTAATAATAAAATATATCTGTCGGAACTGATGTTAAAATGAAAGCTCACAGTTCACATGTTCACAATGGCTACGAAACTAAAATTATTGTTATATTGGTTTACGATATATTAGGACAATATTGTTAATGTTTTTTATATATACCAATAACATAAATTATCGATTAATGCAATAGCAGTCTTCCAAAATAATAAAATATACATTAATACTACCAATAAAGAGACGCCAAGCTTCACTAACAATGTTAAATTAAATGTCTTTCATACTAGTCTTAAGTTTATATATCCGTGCATGTATAGAGGCTACTTTATACGGTTAACTTTATAGTTTATCATTGGTGAAACATTAAATATCATTCTACTACTCTACTAAAATGTACTAATTATTGTAGAATCATTTGAGGTTGCTAACGCTCTACTACAATGCTAAGTTACATAACATTACGGCCAACAACATTAATAAGCAAAACATGCTTATATGAACAAACTATAATTAAAACCTAAAGTGAAGTAAGTTGAATAATATAAGGGCACGATGGTAAACTTATAACACAGTAGTTTTAAAGAAAATATGCTTACCGGCGTTCGTGTACTGTGGCATATAATAGTGGACGGTTCTAACAGGGTTGGGGGTTGCCACGTGGCGGCGCGGCGCCTTGCATGTCTGGTGCTCTCTCCGGCGAGATAGTGGACAAGGAAGAGTAGGCGAGCCCGCAAGGCGGTGGGTGAGATGGTTATCTCAAGCAAAAAGTTGAGATGAGATAAAAGTTGAAGGTCCAATTGGCTCACCCACCCCGGAGCCCATCCCCTTCCTGAAAATATGTAAAAAATACACAGCTATAACATGTGAGAGGCCCCATAAAGTGTCTCATTAAGAATACATTACATAAAGAATACATAATACATCTATACATCATAATACAGTATTAGAACTGATATTTGTCTGAAATGCATTTCGGTGGCTCTAAAGAGGGCCGTTGTTTCAGCTCTTTTAGCAGATGGGGTACCGAAGCGAAATAAGCCTCCACGTTTCGTACAAAAGGCTTCCGCTGGCATACTGCCACTTCCACAGCACTTGGAAGAAGTGGTCATCCCAGAGATCGCCCCTGAGGTGGTGCCGTCTGCGGATCCTGTCCTTTAGGATACACCTCAATCCCTCAATACGCTGAATGTGGACTCCGGTCGCTGGGTCTACAAAATTGACACTATGTTTAACCGTCTCGTGCGTGTAGAGGTTAGTGCAACCACTCCTTATATCAGTCCGAACGATTCACCCTGGAGCGGCGTGCTGCCGGATGATCCTTTCCAGGGTGACTGCGTCGCGCTTCTCGACGATTTTGATGAAGACCTGCTTCGTACCGTCCTGGACGCCACCGACGAGCCAATCCTTGCGGACGAAACGACCAACGCGCACGATGTTGGTTTCATCGATCTGCACGATGGTGTTCGGTTCACCAATCTGTACGATGTTGTTGCTCGACGAGAACATCCTGGAACCATTGACTCCATTGCAGGACGGTTTGCTGATCTCTCTCGAGCGTTCGAGCCATCTCCTTCGTCGTGCCTAGGTCGTGGGCGAAAAGGTAGCTGGCTAAGAAGATCTTCTTCCGAACTCCATGCAAGGACTCAAAAAATGTGCCCCTGAGGTATCCAACTTTCCTGTCCACTCCAGGTTCCCGTCAGGAGCGACGGTGGCACACAAACTTCCATCTCCCATCTTTGCCGTTGTCACATTCCTGCTTGCTGACCTTCCTCAGGTTTCCACAGCTTGGACACGGGCAATCCTTCCACAGCAGTCCTCGTTCAGCGAGCCAGTCGTCGAGCTCCTCCTCCATCATTGTAGCAAACTGCGGCCACGTTGAAACCAGTCGCGCAACGCCAGCAGATATGCAGCGAAATCCATGCCTCCGGATGAGAATCCTACTCAGTGCCTTTCCTATACAACCCTTCCTCATTTTGAACTCACTTCCCGCCGCACTGTGGCGGGAATCCCGCCAACCTTGCTCCCGGAGCTCGCCTACTCTTCCTTGTCCACTATCTCGCCGGAGAGAGCGCCAAAAATGCAAAGCGCCGCGCCGCCGCGTTTCACCCCCCAACCCACTTAGCACCGAGTGGACAACGGGTACAATTCTGAAAGTATTACAATTAATAATTATTTGTAAGACATTATATTACTCGACTACTATATGATAATGGGCAATTCGGTGTAGGATTATTCGGGGTTAGTATAACGCTTATCCAAAATACCAATTACACATGATTTTAACGCTAATAATAAGCAAAACAAACAAATAACCCAAAAACCTGTAAAACAAACTATAATGAAGCAACATGAAGTACAAAATAATACTAGTGTAGGCTCAACAAAGAAAAGTTATAACGAAATTAATCATACCTGCTTAAACATTTATTAAATTCTACAACATCTGATGGAGCTGGCTTTGAAATACAAAGCACCATTTTCGGCTGCTGGTTTTTAGTGAAATGTCTCATGAATTTGTTAGTAAACTACTACCAAACTGGCAAAATAAAGAGCCCGGTTTCGGTAAGCTACTTATAAGAGGGATGCCCAAGATATATTCTTCTAGAAGTATATGTATGTGTCTTTGTTTTCTTGTGCAGCGAATCTGCTCGTGTACCACAAACAAAGAAACAAGAAAACCGTACCTCGCTTTCCCGATCAGCTTCTGAATAATCAAGCTTTCTTTCGTTGAGTAACCATTGGGATGCTTCTCCAGCCTCTACAGTTTTAAGCTGATTTATTTTTAATAATTTAGTGCGCCCTGAAACACATGCATGATCCGCGATTTAAACCTCGAATCGATACACTCCCGGGTTAACCAAGCTATCGATCTCTCCGGAATTTCATCATTTGGTACCAGACTCGTCTGGCAGAGTACAGGGTTATTGTATTTTTTAGGGTTAAACAGACCAGGTTATTGCCAGAGGGTTTTATTTTTCATAGTGTAAGTAGACTATGTACATATTCGTTTGCCCGCAGAAAAAAACACGAATGCATAGGATGTTGTAGAGATAAAGCTTTTGCTAGTTTTCGAGAATGCTAGTTGGTCAAGATCCACATGCTTATCTTGGATGCATACGTACTCCACAAGAACCCACTACTGTCTCGAATAGTAGCATAATGAAGAGAAGCGTAATCCTTTTTTCGCGGGAATTTTTTTGATGTTCAAGGGAGCTCTTGATGGAAGAAGTATGGAAGGCATCACCACAGTTTTGCAGAGGATTCTGCATATATGGTGCCAGTTTTGAGATCAGCATAGGGAAATGCTCTCATGGTGAATGTCCTACCGGATATATCTCATAATATATTATCAGATTATCTAAAAATGCTCGCTTCAATCTACATACTGCAGGATCATTTCCTGGTGAGTGATCGAAGTAAACTGCTATAAGTAAAGGACCACTGTCAATTTCAGTCAGCTCGGTTTCCATTTCGAGTTCCACTTTCCTCGAAAATAATAAAACTATATACGCAAACATCAACAATGAACATATCTTAGAGAAACAATTTAAACGCAGTAATGGTTATAAATGCTAGAAAATAAAAACTGAAGTCGAAGGAAAACTAGTGAAAGGCTCAATAGTGCTTCCGAAGTTAGTAGCTGATCATTGAACTATGAAATCCCTGAACCTGAACCGGGAAATCCAAGCATTATTGAAATTTGTGATAATTATTATCTTGTGCCACACGAGGTTTTAGGTGGAACAC